GCCGCAACCACTTTGATCACTTGGCCTATGTTTCAGGAAGAGCTCCGCTATCAGTTTGGGAAGTCAGATGGGTGGGCTCCCGAGCAGTTGGCAAAACTGAAGCAGACCGGCACGGTGGCTGAATACCGTGCAGAGTTCTTCAAGTTGGGGAACCAGTGTAAAGGAGTCTCAGAGGACACCTTGGTGGGGCTGTGCATGGCAGGTCTTAAGGCCGAGATAGCGGCGACAGTCAGAGTGTTCGAGCCTGATTCCCTGAAAACGGCTTTCCGTCTTGCAGGTCATAAAGAGGAAGAGCTAGCTAGTTGGAGGAGCGTCATTGGCCGCTTCCCGAAGTCAAGTGGAGGGGGAGGAAGTAGCGGGAGTAGTGGATGCGCAGGAGGGGCGTCAGGGGGAGGCTCGACCGGGGCTAACGTTGGCGGTGGAGGCCCTGCTCCAGTGACTAGGATGGGGCCGCGGCCCATACCTAAAGGGTTTGTGCGACTGTCACCAGCCGAGATTGAGCAGAAGAGGCGGGAGGGCAAGTGCTTCAATTGTGATGGCCGGTTTACCATCGGGCACCAATGCCCGAAGCCGTATTTGATGATGCTAGTCGGGCGCTGGGAAGATGAAGCGGAAGATGAGGCCGAGGGAGTCGGAAATGGCGTGGAGGAGACCCAGTGAGCTAGAGGAACAATCTTGGGGACAAGGTTGTTTTTCGAAGGAAGCGGGGATGATAGAAACTAGTATTTAGTTAATTTGGTTAGTTGTCGGATTATTGTTATTTCAGATTATTGGGACTACTTCGGGAATTGGGGGATAAATTATATGTCGGGTAGTATTCGGAAATTAGCCACTTATTATATAAATAACTTGTAAGTGGGATTAGGGGGTAGGCAAGATTAAACCCTAAATTATTCCCTAATCTCACCTCTCTCTTTTTCCTCTCAGCTGAGCCCTCTTTCTTCTGCTGCTGGCGGCAGCCTTCTTCTCTTCCCCTAGCCAATTCTAATTCCCTCCTTCCACTTCCTTCCCCAAAGCAACGTGATCACCATCTTGGTTATTCAATCGTTGCACCAAATCCCTAATTCCGATAGAAACTAATCCTAGGGTTCTATCATAAGATAACTTCCCTTCCCCTGTACTGTATTGTACAAATCCCTCAGAACTCAAGACGTACGTGGATTTGATCTCATTAATTATTGCTTAATTAATCCTATCTTATATATATTATTATTATTATTATTATTCATGAAGCTTGGATTTATATAGAGATGACAATTCGATATATCAATTCATTTTGTTAAAACTTGATAAATAGGAGGTGACCATAGGCCCCTGTGGACCCTCTTTTGCACACCCGTTACCGTTAGGAACAACAACCAGTATATATATACACATATATATAGCTTTTAGTCGGTAACTGGAGAGTGGGTTCCATTGTAAAATCTATTAATAATGCTGCTGAGTGATGCAGAGAGAGATGTCTTGGAAATTCTCGCTGGCCGGTGAACTATTTAGTTTCTTTGGCAGGCAGTATTGTGTCATCTCATAGTCATTGGTTTCTTTAGTTAAATTTTCAGGTTGTATTTTGGTTTGATAAAGCCAGTCAAAGTTGTACGTTTCATTACTTTGGTTCATGATCGATTATCCTTTTCAGCATCCTCACTTCTTGATTTGGAATGGTTTTGGTGGTTAGTTTCCATTAAGCAATATTTCCACAGGGAATGACTGGAATCATATCACTGTTACAAATATCTAAGATTAGGAATTCAGTCGGCAGTGGCCCATTCTAATTAAACAATTATAAGTAGTTGACCACTTAACCCTTTTTTAAGGATGAGACACCTCATTTTCCTGATTTCTACTAGCTACAAGGCCATAAGTAAATCCTCTCGTTGATAAAATTATGTCGTCATTCTGAGTCTTCTTTGTTGTCTAAGAGCTATTTTAATGTTGAGCTACTCTATGTTTCTGAGTATTTCTTAATTCAATAGACAACATAAACAGACATGGCATCTGGCTAAATCCAATTGAAATCAGTTTAGCCCCGGCTAGAATCTTATTCTCTTTTATTAGTAGGACATATACAACTTTGTTTATTTGACACTCTTTTTATTAGTTACTGTAATGAGGTTGGAGCTACAACAACTCGAAACTTGAATAGGATATTGAAGCCATAATAAAAGCTTTCATTAGTGTTTACATACTAATTAACCAAGCTCCAATTGAAGCAAGCAAGGAAGAGACAGGATGAGGAGAGTTGTGCTATATATATATAGTACTGGTCTCTCTACAACAGGGTGCATGGTAGGGTGTCTAGCTATATTGATAAGATCGATTCCGAGATGAGAATATTTGTATGTGATACGATCGAGAGTGTTTAGATTGAGTGGACGGAAGAAAAGCAAATATGAATCCCGGAGGAAGTTCAAGCTACTTGAAGAGTTCAAACATGGTATGTCCATCTGATTTAAGAATTGAATTGCATCATGAACACTCAAAGGGCCAATGCAGCAGGTTGGGGTTGGAGAGTGGTGTGTGACTGTGATGATACCAGAAAATACATCTGTCGAAAGCCACAAAGTTTCCTAGCCATTTGGATTATTTGTCTGTAATGAAGAATTAATGTTGTTTCAATTCATAATTAATAAAAGTTTCTACAGAGTTATTACCTACCTATGATCATACTCATCATTTTGTGTAACTTGACATTTTCGTTAGATTCAATATGTTATCAAGTTGTCCCGTTAGCATTTCATTATCATTTCTTTATCAGTGTGTTATGAATTATCCACAGCGCCTATAAATTTAAGACTATTTATTTTTATTATTGTAGGAATGACAAACATTTCATTTATTTATATAATAGGTTCAATTTTGAATTAGCCTATGCTTTCTACCATTATAAATAAGACAACACACTTTAATTGATTTCGTTAATACGTAATGTTTTCTTATGTTAAAAACTACTTATATCATAAGGGGGAGAGGGAGTGTTTCCACCTGACCATCATATGGTACTCTATACTTTTGTATGAAATGCTTCAAACCAATTTTTTTTTATATAACTTGAAAGCTAATGAACTAAAAATGTTCATTTCGACCTATAAAAACATTCATCTCGATCTTAGTGAGGGTTCTTTTGCATACTAATTGACCGATACATTTTTTGTATCCTGCGTGGAGCGTGTGCCACTTTTCTAGTATATATATAGTGAAATAACAAAAGAAATTTTTTTTACCTACAACATAAAATGCTCTAGCGTTGTCCTTGTGGAAAGCTTTTAGTTCCCTCATGAATGACACCCTCTATTCTGATGTAAATGCCCATATCCATCATCCATTTGCAAAGATAAAATGTAAAACCTAGGGGTGGATTCGGTTCGGTTATAACCGATAATCGATTGGTCGGTTATCGGTTAACCGAACCACCATCTCCCCCTACCGAGCACCGACCGACGCCAATGCCTCGGTTAACCAATAACTGACCGGACGGTTATCGGTTAGTTGGTCGGTTAACCGAGATAACCGAAAAAATGATGGTGGTTCGATTTTAACCGAGTAAAATTATTAGAATTGCCTAAAATGAAAGGTTGTAACTTACATTTCTAAATCTAAATCACACCCAAAGTAAAGTCTCAATCACTTTTGCATAGAAAATACATCTAAATCACCAAATTAATGTCTCAAATTCAACAACATAAAGTTATAAACTTCATAACCGGGTATTTTCACGTCGTTTTGGTGAGGGGGGTGGTTGGTCGGTTATTTTTGGTTAACCGGATAACCAGTTTTTGGTTACTCGGTTAACCGAATTACCTATTAGGAGCTCCGACCACCGACCGAAGCATATAATTTTCGGTTATCGATTAACCGGTAACCGCTGGTTATCGGTTTAACAGGCCAGTTAACCGGAAACCGATAACCAAACCTCCATCCCTAGTAAAACCCAAGAGTCATGATACTACGTACAGTGGATTTTAACACTTAGTAAGGAGATGTCAATTCATTAGTACGGTAAGTTTGTAGTTAGAACATAGAACCTTCCTTTTCCTGGTGATTTGTCACTAGTTAAAAATTAGAATGAATATTTGTGGTTAGTGGTTGACCGATAAGGCTTATTGCGAGGTTCTCGTAACAAAATCAGGGACCTGCTAATCTATTGGCAATACATACATGGGATAAACTATAACACATTAGTATACACTAATTGAATCTTAGCTATCATGGATAGTAATGTAGTGGAGACAGGGAGCCACTGGGCTAAAACCTCATAGGCTTCTCACAAGGTTTCAAAATCAAAACTTGCATATGATAGAACCTGGGATTAGGGTTCTATCGAGAATTGGGGATTTAGGGATTAAGAACAGAATTAGAGATTTGAGAAGAGAAAGATGGAGAATCGGCCTAGGCCTTTAGAGGGATTGAGATCGAGAATCGAGAGGATTGGGAGAATAGGGTTTAGGATATTGTTTCTTAATATTCTTCTTATTGATCCTGAATGGAAACCCAAAGCACATATATATAGGAAATAGTGGAAAACCCTAACAATAAACCTAATTCTATTAAATGACTACTAACCTTATTGATAATTACCCTAATAATAATTATATTAATAATTAGAGAAACCCTACAGAATTGGTTTCTATCATCTCCTCCCCCTTCAGACCAACCTTGCCCACAAGGTTGACCGACTTGACCCACTCTCCCTTCCTTCCCCTGCAATCCGCACGCTGACTCCTCCATTTTTGGCGCTTCCGTTTCTTCCAATCGTGCTCTAGATCTAATAGTGGGCTTCTTCCACCAACCTTCTTGTGCTGATTTAATTCTTTGACTTTCACTTCTATGGGCCCACTACTCGCTTCATTGACAAATTCGAACTTCATCATCTCCGCTTTTGTTGGCTTCACAATCCCATAACTCAAGGAACCCGACAGTTCATTCTTGTTCAAGAATCCATCCCTGAGTACTAACTCATCAAGACCTGCAAATATCTTTCTTGAGACTAGCCAATAAGTTTCTCAAATTGCATTTGGCTCATGCTCCCTTGAAAGCCCACTAACTAAACCTCCAAACTCTTCCTCACTCAGCACAACATCATATAATAGAGCACTTTTTAAATTGTACTTGGGAGACCTAACAATTGGGCTGCGCAAGGCCCATCTCAGCTCCTCACTCAGTTCTTCCTCGGCCCACTGCCATTGCAGTTGTGGTCCGCTCTGCTGCTTTTCCCAGCCTATGGAGAACTCAGCCCACCTCATCTTAATACTCGGCCCAACTTCATTAAATTTCAGCCCATTTAGTGACTCCAGCTTGACCTGATTTCTTCCCAACTTTGGCCCAGAATCTTGAAATTCGTTGGACTCCTCCAAATTCGCGGCCCAGATGGCTCGACCCATTATCGCGCGCGGCTGCTGTGGAGGTTCGCGGTCCAGAGTGGCCGGCCTAAGGTCGCAGCGGAAGGAAGGAATGTCGCCGCCCTCCTCCATCTCCGTTGACTTCCCCTCAACTTTCGTCGTCAGCTCCCTCTTCGATTCCAGCATTTCCTTCGGCGGGGAAGAGATTCCCCGACGACAAGTCTAGCCGGTTTCGGCCGTTGGTCCTCTCCCCGGCGGCGCCGCCGCCACGTGCTGCTCTAGCCTCTCAAAACACGGCTCCCACGGACCCTTCATCTCGATTTCCGTCGACCTATCCTTCGGCGACGAGCTAATCCTCAACTGACAGGAAGGTCCACATGAATCCATCATCTCGCCCTTCATCACCACCCCGGAAGCCACCGCTGAAATCATCTTCAATCGCTCGCCGAAACCCGTCGCGTCGGTCGTCTTCTCCATCTCCGGCGCTGCTTCCTTCTTCGGCAGCCAGTGATACTCCCAGTGATTAAATGGCGAGCCAGATCCCGCCATTTTCTTCAGCCTCGACTTCACCTCATCATCATTCGATACCGCCACGTTGATCTCAAGGCTCGCGTCATCCTCCGTCGTCACCGCCTTAAGAGCACCTTCTCCCTTAGGCTTGTCGTCGTGCGAGACCTCGCCGCTGACCGTCATTGTTTCCTCTGCGCTCGTCAACTCCTCTGGCGGTCGCACAACCTCCTACGGTTCCTCCTTCCCTGGAGGTGAGCCGCCTGCATGCCGGTACGGGAGCCAATCCAACATCTCCATCGTCTTCAGATTCTTCTGCTTTGATTTTCTTTTCTTCTTGAATCTTCTGTTTGCGATGCAGACTGGGATTCTCTTCCCACCATCACGGACGACGCATTTAGGGTTCTTGCTCGTCAATGTCGCCATGATGGCCATCCCTGGTTCAGGGCAGTCAAAGGCAGGGGATGGCGGCGTAGTAACGTTGATGACCATCGGTGATGGTTCCATGACAGCCGGTGGTCCTTTTTCGGTGGTCGCCTCTTTCTTATCGGCGGTATTAGCAATGGATGTGTCGGAAGTCTCCTTTTCCTGAGCTGCGGCAAGTAAGGCAGGGGCTTCCGGGCTGGCCTCTGATGTTGCCGCCGCCAACCTTTCTTCTTCGTCATCCATCGTCGACCAAATTTGAATAGCAGGTGGAACGACGGTCAGTTCTTCGAGTGGTGCGGCTTCGGCGTTCTCCTCCATTATAGGTTAGATCTTGGGAATATGGACAATCAGCCTGTATTTGCTAAACCAGAAAGTCGAGAATTTGTTGGTGTCAAAATCTAACCTGATCCTAACCTTTGCTTTGAAGCGACCCCACCTACCATCTTCATCCAATGGTTGTTCCCCTTGGACTGTTATTATATTGGACAAAGATTTTATGTATGCCGTCTTGAACCACCGTGGCAAGGAGAAGAACAGCTCGATGTATGAATCCTTCACTAGTTTAGTGACCTTGGGGATGAAATCTTCATAGACGCATTCGGTTTTCATGGTCCCGGTTGAGAGTTGTGATGAACTCGATTTCGCAACCAGGCTCTGATACCAAATGAAGAACCCGGGATTAGGGTTCTATAGAGAATTGGGGATTTAGGGATTAAGAACAGAATTAGGGATTTGAGAAGAGAAAGATAGAGAATCGGCCTAGGCCTTTAGAGGGATTGAGATCGAGAATTGAGAGGATTGGGAGAATAGGGTTTAGGAGATTGTTTCTTAATATTCTTCTTATTGATCCTGAATGGAAACCCAAAGTACATATATATAGGAAATAGTGGAAAACCCTAACAATAAACCTAATTCTATTAAATGACTATTAACCTTATTGATAATTACCCTAATAATTATATTAATAATTAGAGAAACCCTACAGGAATTGGTTTCTATCAGCATATCCAACACTAGTCATAGGCCCGGCCGGTTGGCCGGATTCATTTGTCAATTGTGTAAATCGTAGTAGCAATTTTGATGTGAGTTTTGCGTTTATTTGGTAGTATATTTAGAAATAAAGGTATCTGGAAACTATTTAATATTCTAATTTATTGGTAGCGTAAAAGAATTCAAATTGTTAATATTCTTCAAACATTGAAAAGCTGACATAGTGTTTTTTGACATTTTAACCAAATATCGAGTATAATTTTTTACGAAAAATGAAAGACATACGTTATTCCAGGGAACCGAATCCCTAAAGTTTTGTGAAAAAACCGTTCTATACTCCTCATTGTAATATATTAGTGGACGTTTTATTTTTTGTGTTTGTAAAGGTCGAATAATCTATCAATTTTGAAGTGCAACATGTGGGAACACCGTCTTACTCATGATGAAATTGGTATATTAATATTGCATAGTGCATTGTTTCATGGGCTAAATGCTTATTTAAAAATTACATCGGTGTAAACTATAATAAGTCATGCTGTAAATTACATGGACTCGATTAACAAACGGATGACGATTCTCCCTGTTGGTAATTCTACTGAAATAAATATAAATCCAATTGTCATGGTTAGCCAATATTTTTAAGAATGATCATTTTTATGTGGTTGTTTAATTTAGACATACCTAATTAATAGGATTTGTAAAAGGAAAAAAGTTGCGTATGAAATGTAAGCAAGAAGTTTGTAGATACCAATTTTTTCCGTCAATTAGTTTGGAATTTTAAATCCTCAAATATATTAGTTCAGGTTGAATAATATAATGTTTCTATGAGTATGGTTAGAATCACAAATCAAACAATATAAATCTGGACCTTGTCAAATAATTGGGTATGAGTACTTTAGGCGATTTTATTACTATGTCATCAAGTGTCCTTTTTCCACCTTACACAAATCAATCGATTTAGTGAAAGATAAATAGGTGAATTAAAAAGATCAACATCATACTTTACGAAAATACTTCAACAATTCAAAAAGATCAACATCATACTATTTTTTGCCATTTTGATGACTCATCGACTAAAATTATTGATGGAAATGGAAGACAAACCCCATGCAATGGAACTGACTCGTAAGGAAATTTTCAAATCACCCTTTCATTTTGTCATCATTGTCAGTAATACTGCACGTTTTCATTTTGACTTATTTCCTCCACCATGAGCACCATTATCATCTCCATTAACGACACATTTATATGCATTATCATTAGTCTCTTCCTTCTTCTCTTTTATTTTATTAATCTCTCCCTTATTTTCCTGCATTTCATTGAGGACTTAAATTTAATAATAAAATATTTATAATTATAAATCTATCTCTTTCATTAGGGTAAAATTTGCCTCGTGCAAATTTTGAACAATATACATAATTTGTTCTTTCTCCACTCGTAGGTACCATTAGGTGTACATGGAGCTATTGGTACTTGAATGCCACATGGTCTATGAAACATAAAAAATTAAATGCTTCAAAACATTTAGGATCTGCTTTAGGGTATGAAATTTCAACATATATAGTTGAATCTATTTCTTAAGGACAATAGATTTTATCTTCCACAGCTAGGAGAACTAATAAATGAGTACGGGGTAGATCTTATTTTATATTCAATTGCCTTTACTTCTGTAATGAAAGAAATCATCAATAATAATATAAATTGAAAAATAATAATTACCAAACAAATCATGAGTTAAGGATGCTTAAAGTACAACTATGGAATATAACTTGCATGAATTTATTTAGCTTCAGCTTGAATACTCATGCGAGTACATCAAGTCTATTAGGATCTTTCCTAGTAGTATTCCTTATCAAATCAAGCATGTATTGAATCTCGGGTCAATCAAGATTACATGTAAATGTAATGAAAAGATCTGGATTTCCCGTCCATCTACAAATTAGCATAAAATCATGAAAGATTTCATACTTATATCGGGGACTACGTGTATTTTTGTGATGAATCTAAAATAACATGTTTTCCACTCAACATGGTATTTGAATTACATCTCAAGTAAGAATCCAAAAGACCTAGGTGATAACGTTGCCGCACCTTTGTTTGATTGTCTTCGATCCAATCAAAACGCTTAGCCTCAACCAATGCACATGCATTAACAACATATCCACACAACTTATTTGCAATCTATATTCTAAATATCACATTGGGTCACATTCTTCTCATTGAGTCCATCAGCATCCTCACAGCTAGAATATGGACTATTTTGGTATCATCCATCCTCACCATGTGGAAATAATATGAGATATTGCAAAGCCACTAAACTTTGATTATATATACTAATTTGTACGAATTCATGACTTTGATGATGGACAACAATATCAGGAGGTGAAAAAACTAATCGATTTTGGAGTTTATTGCCAGTGTCATAGATGTAGAGTTGAGCAACATTTTGGTTTGTTCCTTTTAGTAGATATATATCAGGCTACCGATTTGATGATTTACTTGACCTCTAGTTGAATAAACATATACTTCACGTCCATCATTTATAGACCAATCCATTTTACCTCCAATAAAAGTTAATGCGAAGACCCCGTTATAGCTTCGAATATGTTCCAAAAATGGACGTCATGTTGAAATATTTGTTTGCCATAGCATATTCAAAATCTCCGGAGGATGCATTCGAGGAGGGATGTTCACTTTGCCTTGTCTGTAGCACAATAAAAACTTTGTTTGATTAGAATTCCTTGTGAGTTTGATACTTTCATCCTTCCGCATCATTACTCCATGATGGATTTTAAATGTTAGAAATTTTAACAACAGCAAAGAAATTATAACTCTCATATAATATATGCATTTAATATAAATTTTAAAATAAAAAAAATAAAGAAAACTCAAATACAATGTTGTGGTTGAAAAGACATACAATTATTTATTACATTGGAGTAAAGTTATACCCTTTTTACATTGTTGTGTCTGAAAAGACTTCAATTATTAACGGATTTTTTTCATCAACTAATTTCATATTATATTAATTAAGTTTTTAAACTTGAAAATTCACATATCAAGTAATGAGAGGTATATTTATTTTTAGTTACAAAAGTGGTGAAAAAATACATCAGAAAGTAATCTGTATAACTTGTATTTTCAACATAATAATTTGCTCATTATGTTTGGCGTAATGCACGGTTAAAAAACTTCATCTCCATTTTGTTGTAACAAAGTAATAAACTTCTGCCCTCCGAATAGCAAATTCTTATTCCACCCCTGAGAGAAAGGGCTCTAGAACGGAAAAGCTGAAGGTTACTTGCTCCTCTTTGTCGCTTCCATAGGTTGTAATACATGATTATAATAAGAGAACGGATAGAATACAAAAACTCAAGATTTTTGAAGGATTTTGCAGGCTTGATTTTGTAGCACAACCCAACTCTTATAATAATAATAATTCAATGGAAGAACAATACCTTTAGCTCTACCTTGGCCCGAAAAGACTTGGAAGGAAGGGAATTTTGGCAAGATTCTATCTTTGTGCCGCATTATATTAGTCTTTTAGTACAATAATAATTATACTTCTTGCCTCTTTAATATTTTTTGTCCCGCCGCCTGGATGGGCATATTACCCAAATCCCTAACCTATTAACATGAAAGGTGAAAAGTCTAAAGAGCCCTGCCGTGGTTTCCTTTGGAGCCAGAAAAAATGGAATTAAGGGGGTTGGGAGGGAGAAACTCCTTATATGTATTGTTTGATTTGATGATGATTTGGTTCGGAAGGAAGGGAGATGATTATCGTCAAAGGCCAGGTCCGAGAAGTGTATATATTGTAATGATTAACTGCAAAAATTGGTGTTAAGAACTAATGATGATAAGTCTTGCTCACAGTGTCCGATCACCAATCGGGAAGTGAAAAATGAGCTTTACAAGTGCTGAATTTCGATCCCTTTGGCAATGCTTTAGTTGCGGAACGATCATTGCCTCTATCGTCATCAGGAAGTACAAGATGAACTTCACAATTGCTCGATCTTCTTGTCAGTTTTTGTAGCAGTGGAGCAAGAGCAACTGCAAAGTTGCAGTCTTCTATGCCACAATACACATTCACCTACTTCAGTACGATACCAACCTCGAGCAAATACGCTGCTACCACTTTCATCCCGTCCTCTATGACTATCCCTCGTGAGGAGAGGTTATGGATCTCAATTTCCTCGAGGCTCGACAGCAGACACTGGGGAGTGCTGGCAGGCACCAACTCCTCCTCCCAAAATGGTTTGAACTCATCTTTGTCATCCCCTGGCTCAGCTCCTCCTGATTCAAGGAACAATATTCTTTCCATTTATGAATCATCGTACGCATATGGAAAGATCGATGTACACTAATACACATGTAGGTCCGTGGATTAATGAAACTCACCAACCCAATGACGAGAGATTGTAATCTAGAAGCTGAGTTGAGCAATAAGTGCAGAAGGCAGCTGGTTTCAGCGCCTTCGATCGTCAAAAAAATATCTCAACTTGGGAAAGGCAGGCAGTCGAATATCACTAACATCAACCCCAGCATCCCTTGAGGGGAGCAGTTCCTGTAAGTAACCTACCGGTGAGTAACGGTCAGTAATCACCGGATCGGCCGTCCATTGCAATCCATTAATAACCGTCAGATGTAGAATAGCAAATACACGTAGGGGTATAATAGTAACTAACCTTCTGACAATTTGAAAAAGGTAACCGAGCCTTCCCCGCCATCATTATCACCAACTCTGTAAAAACAGAAAAATCACAGGCGGTTCGAGTTCCATCTCTGCTTTTTGCTCTGCATTTACGCTATCCATTCTCACTCCCTCTCTCTCTCTCTAGCATTTCATCTTCGCAAACTGCACCGTTGAAGTCGAAGTCGAATCTCAAATTTTCATTTCGCTTAGCAAAGGATACTGATCTCAGTTCTTCAGCGATCAAGTGAGGGTTTCCAGTTCGACGTCTTCAGCGACAAAATTAGGGTTTCCAACTTCGACGTCTTCAACGATCAAGGTAAATCATCACTTCTTTCTTCAAGTACATACTTCACAAATACCAAACGAAAAACTCTACTATGCTTAATGTTTTCACAATACCACACTGGTACCATGTGGTATTCTAAGGGAAAAAAGTTCTAGCAGTGATCAAAGTACTTACAGTGAAATACAAAACCTATTCCATACTCTGATTTTTTTACAATACCACACTGGTACCATATGGTATTCTAAGTAGAAACCGTTCCAGTAGTAGTCAAAGTAAGAATGAAAAATATTTTATAGGAAAAGTATAAAAACCTATTCTATGCTCTGATTTTCTTACAATACCACACTGATACCATATGGTATTCTAAGGAGAAACCACCCACGCACTGGTCAAAGTACTTACAGTGGTATGGTATGGTATGGTATGGTATGGTAGTTGGTGTTTTTGCGTACTGGTAGAATATGGTATGGTATGGTATGGTATGGTATGGTATGGTATGGTATGGTATGGTATGGTATGGTATGGTAGAATATGGTATGGTATGGTAGTTGGTGTTTTTGCTTACTGGTATAATATGGTATGGTATGGTATGGTATGGTAGTTGGTGTTTTTGCTTATTGGTATAATATGGTATGGTATGGTATGGTATTTGGTGTTTTTGCTTACTGGTATGGTATGGTATGGTATGGTATGGTATGGTATGGTATGGTATGGTATAGTATGGTATGTTATAGCAATTCTTCTATTCTGGATGCAGGTACATCATGTCGAGACATAGGGACGATTTTCGCACAAGGTGCAGCCCAACAAGAATCAACACACTTTCAAGAACATTAACACCTGAACAGAGGGAAAAATTGCAGGAATTAGGCCTTGATGGCTTAACATGCATCCAGCAAACAAAGATAAACAAGAACTTTGCTCTATTCACAATGAACAAGTACAATCCAACAAAGCAATCATTCAAGCTGCCTGGTGGAAACTACATGAAGATATCGCCAATTGACTTGCATAGAGTTTATGGTCTACCAATGGGTAAAAAGGAAGTGACGCTCAAGAAATTATCACTGGACGAAGCAGTAGACTATGCATGTCAGGTCCTACTAGAACTAGAAGCTCCAACTACAAATGGAAGGGTGAAATTAGCTAACGTAGAGCATGACGTTTCTAATGCTCATACCATTGAAATATGGATCAAACTGTTCTGGGTTCTGGTTACGGGAGCTCCACTGTGCCCATTTTCAAACCCAACTGCTGAGTTGAGTGTGATGGAGTACTTGCAGCCAGACAAAATCAAGCATTTCAAAGAATACAATTGGTGCAAGTTCTTCTTCGACTATATGAATGAGGGGTTGAAATCAAAAAACCTGTACGTCAATGCAGATCTTCATTTCTTAACAGTAAGTATCTATACCCTCAATAATTTCATTTCAATTAGTATACCCTAAAGCATTACAAATCCTAGTACATCAATACTAATACAACTGTTTCTCCTTCCCACAAACAAATAAAAGGTATGCTTCATGTACAAGTTGGATGAAATGGCCTTCTCCACACAGTTTCAAATCCCAATAACAAACTACTATGATGACATTGCTGTGCAAAGAAACTATGAAAACATATAGAGCTACTACGGTGGAGAAGAACTTCATGAGCTCATGAAGATACAGGATAAAGAAGAGAAGATCGATGACACCAGCAGTGATGATGATGACAACAACACAGACCAACAACCATCAACATCACTCATATTTGATTTGAAGATGATCAAGACTATCCCCTAAGTAAGTATAAATTACCATATGTTACTAATTGTGCACTTCATATAACTAATACCACACATGAACCATGGTGGTAATATATGGTATTGTACTGTATAATGCACATACCATCCATTACCACCATGGTAATATGTGGTATTCTACTGTAAATATTAACTTACAGACCTAAAAATCACTAATGCAGGCTGAGAGAGCACTGAAGCTGGTGAAAACATCAATGAAAGCTATGTTGCAATCAATCAAGATGCAATACAAAGCTCAAATTGATGAGCTTGTCAAACACAAGGAAATGTTGGAGTAACAAACTTCTGATGACAACTTTGATGCTGTGGAAGGAGACAGATCTGATGACGTGATTGTCGAACAAAAGGAAGGAATTGAGTCTGATGATGAAGATGAAGAAGAAGACGCAAACCTGGAAGAAACTCTGAAGAATTTTTTTGACAAGGTACAATCAGACAAAAGGAAAGCAACCACAGTCAATGACTCTGAATAAAATGATGATTCTCAACGGACAACAGTGGATCTAGCCGGACCAACACAATGGAAGAAAAGGAAGACTCAAGATGGTTCTCCAACAAAACCAGAAGCTCAACATCAAACAGAAGTACCAACAACAGAGAATCCTGCTGAAACTGCTGAGAAGAACCAAGGAAGTTCAGTTCCAGAGAATGTAAACCAGGAGGCCAACACAAAAGGAGATGAAGGAAAGGAGAATGAAATGGATCAAGATCAGGAAGGAGATGACAGTGAGAAGACACAGTCAGATGTGATTGTGTCAAAGGAGGGAGGAAATGGAAAGAACAATGATGAAGAAGCAATCCAACCACCACCACAAAAGACTGCAGGAAACCCCAAAGATGCAGAAGACAGTGACATACCATCTTTTGACATCAGCCCATTCAATCCCCCATCAGCAGCAGCAAATATCAACATCACCACAGCAACAACATCACAACAACCAGAAGAACCGCGCAAAAGAAGGATAGTGATCAAGAATGTGCATGGACCAGAGAAGAAAGCAAAAACATCAACCCCTCCACAAGAAAAAACAAGCCAACAGTTGGTGAATAAACCATTCATTGAATTGTCAAACTTGTACTCGAACAGCCAGGAGAGGCTACTGGAGATAAATGCATGCTTGGCTGCTTACATTGATGACATGAATACTCCAGTTTCACAACCAATACCAGGAGTGAGCTCATCGGCAGCAAATGAACCAGTTCAAGCAAAACATGGTGCCCTAGATGCAATCCCAACTGCAATGATGGTTACACCACCTCAATCAACTCCTGATGAAGTTTTCAATGACATCCTTGAGTACATAAGGTGCAAAGACAACAAAATTGTCGACGAGTAAGTAAACTTCTTAATAGCAATTAATTTCTTAATGACATATACTATAGTATGGTATGGTATGGTATGGTATGGTATGGTATAATGTTAAATAATACCACATGGTATAATATGGTATAATGTTGAATAATACCACATGGTATAATGTGGTATATTGTTCTGAACAGGGACGAGGTAATGTTCAGCAGAAAGGATGGCACAGGCTTACTCAAAAGGTCATCATTGCAATCTGTTGACATAGATCAACTGATAACAAATGATGTCGTGGACTGGTATGGAGATCGGATGAACAGAGATCAAGCAAAATCAGGAAAAATCTCCAAGTGTTTCTTCTCTAGTCATTTGGCAGTAAGTTTGTCCATATTTTAATGTATTATACTTACCATACCAGAATATATGATTGCTTTAACATAATTTCAAATTTACAGGCTGACTGCAAGCTGGACATAGACAACAACAATCCTCCACTAAGTGCAGACCAATACTTCGACAAAGTGGACGAATATATTTCTGACAAAGAATGGGCAAAAGACCTCAGCTTCCAGAACTGTGACCTTGTAAGTAACACAACAAAAACCATAAAATACAATATGGTATGACATCAAAAAACTATTCCTCAAAACATATTTATAATTATCCATTAACATTCTCACTTCATTCATATGCAGTGGTTCTTCCCTTACTGTGATGGTGAACACTACATCATGATCTGTGTCAACATCAAGAACACAAGATTTGATGCGCTTGACAGTCTCCGCTACAAAGACTTTGACGAGACTTCCAAACCAGTGGCAGAAAGAGTTGTCAAGTATGCAATCAACTACATTAGTGTCTACTATGGGAACAGACAAATCCCCTGGGATAAGTTTGACTGGTTCAATCTGGGGAAGATTGCACAACCAGATAAACTCTCATGTGGATTGTACATAATCAGATGGATGCCCCATTGGGAAGGAAAGTACAAGAGTTATATGCAATCAGACTGGAAGAGAGTGGATCTGATCAATGAAGACAGGGAGTGTATCATGCTGGATATCATCCTCGATAAAAAAAACCTTGAGCGTGTTCGGATTATGAAAGCTGCCACAAAGTACTGCGCTATGAAGAATCAAGGCAAGTAAGGGAAGGAGACAACATCAGTATGGTTTAGGGAGTTTAAGTGTGTGCTTTTGAAGACAAACAATATGCTAACTATTTTTATTATG